CTTGATAAGGCTTTGGTTCAACAGAAGACCTTTGGTTCTCTGCTGTAGAACAGAAGACCTCAGGATCTCTGTTAGCCTTTACTCTGACAGAAACCCTCCTGGTTCTCTGTTGGACATCTCTTCAACAGAAGTGCTCAAGACCTTCTCTGATCAACTCTCTGCTAAAGACACCAGAAGGCCTGACACCTAGGAGAATTTCACCAAGCCGGGAAAACAACTGGAAGATTCCTTCAACGGCTAGGAGTCTTGAACGGAAAAGCTACAGTACGCGCATTAAATGCACATTTAATGCCTCCCGTACTTTGTAGAGTAATTGCAGATGATTGGCTGCAAAGTCAGGATAACTTTAACCCAAAATAGTAACCCGCCAACTTTACCGGATCCTACTGGTCAAGTCAACTGCCCGCTCATTTAATGCAGTTGTCCTCCTTCTCCTCCAACGGGAAGACAACCTCAGTATAAAAGATACACTACGAAGAACAACCGGATAACTTTGCTATAACCTTTGCTACAACTCTGCACATACAAGATATTCAAACGCTAAAAACGCAAAAAGCCTCCTTGAGATTAAATCTTCATCATCCTCTACAAGATAAGGCAGAAGTTGGAAAAATCCTTATTTCCAACTCAATCAAAGTTCTAAGTGTTCTTCAACTCTTCAAGCTCATCACATACAAATTCTTTGTAACGAAGCAAGTTGGAGGAACCTCTGTTCTATATAGAACCTCTTCTTTCACAAGAAGGACGTCCAAGTACCAGGAGCAGTGAAGTGGTGATACTTCTGGGAAAGCTCAGTGAAAGGACCAGTGTTAGGGAAGCCGGAAGTGCATCCAAAAAGACATCTACACTTGAAGAAGACGTGGAGAGCTTCTTAAGTGATAGGGCTAAGGCATTGTAAACGGACGTTTTTACAAGCTTAGTGGAACAGTGGACTAGAGGAACAAGTTGTTCCTTGAACCACTATAAAAAGCCCTGGTGTCATTTACTTACTGCATTACATTCATCTCTTTTATTTGAACTGCTTAACTCCAAAGACTTGGTATCTGTGTTCAGCAGAACTTGTCTTGTGAGTTAACAGAAGGCCTACTGCCCTTGCTTCTCTGAGTCTACTAACAGAACTCCCTACCAGAACCCCATCCGCTGCCAGTCTGTTCTGCCAATAGAACAGGCTATTCTGTTAAATCTGGTACTTAGCTTGAAAAAGTTAAAAACCAATACAGTCTATTCACCCCCCCTCTATTCTATTCGGTTTTTCCGATACGGATTGTCCATACTGCTGGTTGAGATGTACTCATTTCCAAGCTAACACGTAAGCTTCCCCGTTTGGCCATCCGGAACGGTTCATTCATTCGTGGAGCCGAAATGACGACTTGTCTCCAAAATCAGAGCTGTGATTCCACCCTTCGATCTAGTCATCGTGGCTCGTTGGCCGTCCGAACTAGTCGTCGTGGTTCGTCAAAGCTAATGATTGAGATAAGATTTTAAGCCATAGTTTCGATTCCCCCGTTCGATCCATCTGGTTTTGACCAGTCTGTTCGACGGTTCGTCCATACAGCTGGCTTCACATCATCTCCCAAACTAACCTAAAACCCCTCGTTCGGTCATCCAGAACGTAAGGCCAAAACGTAGTTGAAATGGTGGCTCTTCTACAGACCGTAGTGAGATTCCTTCGTTCTGTCGTCCAAAATGATTCGCCCATACTTGCAGTCGAGATGAGTCTTTTAGCCATAGTTTCGATTCCCCCGTAGATCCATCTGGTTTTGACCACTCTGTTCGATGGTTCGTCCATACTTGTGGCCACATGAAGTTATGTCTCCTTCTCTCTCTCTCTCTCTCTCTCTCTCTCTCTCTCTTGCAAGAGGTGGCAACAGGGCCGAACGTCCAGGTGCCCACCGAACGGACCTCAGTCCAAGTTCGATTCTCTTTCTTTGTCCAAGTTCCTACAGACGGCGGCGCCAATGTTGAGGTTAAGTCCCGAATGACCCGAAGGCCCAACACTAACCTTGGATCTAGGGTAAGACTGCTATAATAACGTGTATAAAAGAAATATAAAAGCTGATAGATTCACGCAAAAAGTCTTGCTTGTATTAACGCAATAATAACAATTACACGGAAATGGCCGAACGGTAGTTACGGTCCGAAGGCTAATACAAGAGCTAGATAGCGATATAAGCTTGTGAGTAAACAAACGTTAACCCTTACAATGAATTAAATGCTGCTATTTATACTAGATGGAGGTATGTGGGGGGTATGGGGTGCTCTAATATGATTGGTTGCCTACCATGCCACTTGAGGCCTCCATGATCCAGCATTAATTGCAGTCGGTGACTTGAGCAACTCTCGTTCGGGATTAAGCTCAGCTAAGCCATCAATCAGGGAATAAACTAATTACCTAAGCGCTAATTATACCCCATTCGGGATGATTTTCTCTGGACCCTCCCTTTCGTCTGGGCCTCAGGGATATTTTGGGCTGCCGTATTGGACCGGACCTTAGTATCCCATCACACATGAAGGCCGAAATGTGATGCATGGAATGCTAGATGTCCTCCATGTTTGATTCGCGGGGTTCAGAAAAAATTCGGGAAAGTTACATCCTGGTGGATGTAATATGGAGGAGAATGTTAAACTGATCCATACCTTAGGTTATTTGACATTCTATGGGATGACCTCAATTTCTTTCGAAAATACCCTCAATTAATTATCTCTTTTCATTTAATTTCTGTATATATCCAACTTTTATCAAATCTGATTTTCTGCGACATTATAAAACTTTTAACGTAGTTTCTAAATATGTAAATCTTATTTACTAGAGGTAATCTTATCATTAAATGGATCAATCAATTATATTGTCAGTCAAATATCATATATTGTGTGACAACCTTTAAAGTGGTACGACAGATGGAGTATGTTTATTATCATTTTCTTTAATTCAAAAATAAGTTTTACGAATAACTTGAACACTTCTTAAATTGAGTTTTTATGAAATAATAATAAATTTATTTAGATTACTATTTGAACAAAGTTTTTTTAATTTCTGTATTGGATCTACAACATTTTATAATTAAACATACTTTACTTAAAAAATTCAATTAGTTTTGATTTTATTTAGTATTAAGATATTACATTTTTTCTTTAATACCAATTACTTTAGGAGCCCGTTTGGTAATACCCAAAAATCAACTTTATTGACTGATTCTGTTGAAATTTATGAAGTTCTGGGGGAAGTGGATGTATTGGCCGATCCTATTGATTTAAGAAAAAATTATATTTAAAATATATTTTATTAATAAAATAAAGAAAAATTTTATGAAATAATAACTAAAATGATCCGCCTCATTAACTTCAGCCAATACAGCCATAAAAGTAACTTCAACCATATTTTTTTATTATTACACTATTCAGCGCGCGAAATCAAATGTTACGTGTTTGGTGAAAAAGTTGGCTGATACACCTGATAAACCGAAAAACAAGGTCATCAACGAGCTCTAGATGTAAGTTGTAATAAATTTATTGTGTTAAGAGAATATTTAAAGAACATCAAAGTAATTCACAAATCTGCAAGGGAAAATCGCACTTTTAATCTATGAAATAGTCATTGTTAGGCTAATGGCCCAACTCGAGGTCAGTCCATTTACCCCACAGGGGCACCCGATGTTCATCCCCTAAGCCCCAAGCCATTTGGGGTGCTATCCTCAAAACAGCCCAAGGCAGAGGCGAGGTTCGTCCCCATTAGGGACGCTCGACCTCTGAATATCAACCCACATAAGGCAGGCAACCACGTTCCAAGGGACATCTGTGAGGTGATGCACGTACACTGATGATAGCTTGGTATCTGGCCCAGGAAACAGCACAAGACACACAAGATACGGTATCGCGGGGACGTTCGTCCCCACCCCTTGGCGGGAAACCAAGATTCTAGCGGGAAGCGCATTTAATGCAAAAGATTTGGTGGTTGGGGCCCTAGCCATTTACGGCTCGCCACGTCAGCATATCTAACTATCCATTGGTGATATAAATAGTAACATTTATTTCATTGTAAAGGGTTGAGAACTTAGCATTCTAGCATTGTAGCATTTGTATCAGCTCATAACATAGCAATAGACGAACGACCTCAGGGCTCTTGTACTGAAGTGTATTGTATACGAACTTTATCATCTCTTAATAGACACAGCCCATTTATCATGGGTTATCTTAGCCTATCTCTGCTTGTTTTATCATCTATTCCACCACACTTTCCATTCCAAATTCTTGGGTTACGTGTTGGGCCTACAGATTAAAGGAATAAACCTCAACTCTCACCATATTGAAATGTGAGATCTGTGTTCCTTAGTTTGTAAATATCACCCCTCAAGTATCCAAATTGCTGCAAATGCGGTCCTTTGAGGGGTGAAATGTACAATGTGGGCGAGAAGTACATTTCACCCCTCAAAGGACCACATTAACAACAATTTGGAAAATTGAACGGTGAGATTTATAATCTCAAAAATACGGATCTGACATTTCAATAAGATGACAATTTTAGAAACAAAAGTGCGACTTTACTAATCTGCGATACTCCCTCCGGTTCTTATTAAAGTTCCCACTTTCCTTTTTGGGATGTCCCTTATTTAAGTTCACACTTCCATTTTAGGAAACAAAACAGTGCAAAACAGTGCCAAACAGTGTCCAAACAGTGCCAAACAGTGTCCAAACAGTGCCAAACAGTGCACTCCACAGTAAAGTCAAATTCATTTTCTTAATATGTGTGAAGTCAAACTGAGAACTTAAATAAGAACCGGATGGAGTATAAGATATCTTTCCACTAAATAAATAAATTGTCTCATCCTCTTAACATCCCGCGTCTCTCTGTGCTTTAGTACAGGGGTAAGACTGCGTACATCTGACCCCCTTACCCCACCGTAGGTGGGAGCCTTTGCGGCACTGGGTAAATGAAAATGAAAATGATCCTCTTGACATCCCGCCCGTCTAACGTCGGCTTGATAATTTCTTAACAGTTGTGCAATCAAACGAATCCTAAGAGTTTCCTGTGCGGCGTGAAGTAACAAAACTAAGATAAGCTCGCGCTTGACCACCGTTCCTCATTTTTGCCACTAATAATTCAGGAGTCAGGACAAGAGAGAGCACAGTGTAGCTTCTGGCTGCCGGTATCGGGCTCCGCCTTGATTTTTTACCGGTGCCCATCCCTCAACCGACAACATTACTCTCAACAGCCAGATTTCCCTCTGGCTGCTTTTGCAATAAAGCCCATCCCGAGCTCGCAACTTCTTGTGTCAAATTACGTATTTGGCTTCCTGGTGTTCAACAATATCATTGTTAATCCGTTCTTGTTGGGTAAGATTTTCTTTTGAATTCTTTAATTCCTCATAAATTCATCTCCTTGAGTCTATCCCTGATGGCTTGACGCTGAAGTTTCACCCCACCCCAACCCCTGAATATTTTGATATTGAAAAATGAACAGAAAAGTTCACTATTATTATAGGTGGGGATGGATTTTTTTTAATTATTCTTTTGATGTGACGTTTTCGTTCTTTAAGAGACTGAAGATCGTCTACAGATCAATCGCGTTTGAGTACGCGTTTGGCGTATAGACAGACATATAACTTTCTTCTTTTTTTTGTTTACGAATTGACCCTATACACTAGGGGCGCTTACTTGAAAGAAATATTTCATCTATATCCTCGGTCTTGAACTGGAAAACAAGCCATCTCCGGCAGTGTGGTAGCAGCTTACATCTTACATCCCATGTATCCATTAAGTTTAGGAAATTTCCCGGTGAAGAAACCAATTAAGCAAAAGCCTCTCATTTCGACCATATGGTCAAGTCAACACAGTCCCAATCAGTGGGTATAAACCTATGTTTCATACATTTTGTTGGGTTTCTATTGTCTTTGAATAGTCCCACCCAAGAAGGCTTGCTACAGATATAGAAAAGTGTAACCTTTAGGACTTATATGTTTTGTGTATTGCAACCTTGAATCATACTTTTTGTAATAATGGAATCAATTATTTCTGTAATCATAAACTGAAACCACGGTCGTCACAGACAGGTGCATTCTTTTTTCTATAAATCATAGACTTGGGCTCCGTTTGGAATCATAATCGGATGGATGTTCATACTCAGCACTCAGCAGGTTTAGCACATTTATCAATATTAGCCAAATAAACTTACTAAAGTGGTACTTAGTTCTGTTTTGTAACTCTTGTTTCAAATGTCTCGGATGAACTCATAATAATTGTAAAATACAGAATAGAAAGAGGATATAACAGCTTTCCTTTTTTGGGATTAAAATGGTATAAAGGGTTCGAGTAAGAATTCTGTTTGAAGTGATATTTACAACATTGTGGTGATAAAAAGGTGATATGAGTTTGAGATGATCTTAGAGCCTGTAATCTTCTCAAGTACATATGGGATTAAGAATTAGGATATATTTCACAACAGCCTCGTGAATCGTGATTATATAGCAACTTTGATCACAATTATCGGTGGCCTTTATGACTTGTTTTTCTTTCAATTTTAAGCCTCACATATGCTTAAGAGGATATGCACCATATCCTTCAACCTTTTCATTTGTTAAAGTTCTGAGTTAATTCATAATTGAGCCGTGTTAGCTTAACAAGGTCATATTGCACATGGGCCCCACTTCGTTTTTGTTTTTTTCTCAGCAGGTTTTGCATGTAATGTACTTGTGTAGCTTCCTAATTGGATTATGAACTGATCACCTCCAATTCTACCTGAATAATATGGGCAGACAAAATGCTTTCCTGTCTAAGGCCGTCGTCATCATCCATAACAACCAGAAATACCCAATTTTCACAGTCAAGCATGGACGGTAATTTTCTTAAGCTCTCCTAGTTTTAATATTTTGCAGCTTTGGTAAATATAAGAACAATGTACATATTGTTGACTGATGTTTCATATCGGCTAACTATGAATGAACTCCTTAATAACTTAATAAGTGTGATGGACATTGCAGAGTTCTTTAGTGTTGAGTGAATACATATTTTGCTTGTAGGGATTTCAGCTGCAAACACACCAAGGTCAAGTGACCAAGCCACTCCTTCCTCTGTCAACCTCACCCTAGAATATACCCTTGCCATTCAAACCACTTCCTATTGTGAAATATGGTCCAAGATTCACTACAAAGTCTCATCATACCATGATGATGAAGAGGAGGAACCACCACAAGTAGATATACAAGAGATCCTTAAACCAAGTCATGAATGTGTCAAAGATGCACTTTCCCATATTAGACCCAATGACACCTTAAGCCAATTTGTCATCAACTACTTTGACCATAGTGAACAAACGTTTCGGTTCTGTCTTTTCCTTGCACAGTGCATCAATCGCGCTCACCGCTTATATTCCCCTCTTCATAAGCTCATTGATCTATTTTCCATAGATCTGGAAAGCCTTACAAACTCTGCTCATAGTAACAAGGTTGAGCCTAACTTATCCCAAGCCCAATGTGAGTGGGTATTTGATGCCTTCCATGAGTTCGAGAAACTAGACAATCCCTTCCCGGGCCCAGACTCCCATAGCTTCAGCAATATGCATAGCTCCTTCACTCAACTTAAGCAATATCTTGATGTTCACCTGCAAAAGTCGCGCTCTAAGGTACTATTAAGAATATTATTTATATTTTTTATCACTAATATGTGGTTAATAGTATTTCTCCCACCTCTCAAGAAATTTCAATCACATGGTTTTTACATTATTATTTTTGGGAAAAGGATCAAATAGAGCCTTCTACTATTCCCAATCCGTGACTTAAGCCCTTCTTTTAAGCAAAGCATCATACAAGTATGCTTACTTTTTAAATACAATCAATCGGGCCATTTTGACAAGCTATAGTAGGTTATTTTTAAAGAAAATAATTAGGAGTATTGATAAATCTTATAAAAATTTGAAAAATAATGTAATAATAATATAAGAATAGTATAAATGTAAAAATAGATATATTTAAATGAAAATGTAAAAAATAGAAAATATATATGTAAAAACCTCTTAAATAGATGTAGAATATACAAATAATTTCAAAATTTTCAAAATTATTGACTTTTCCATTCTGAATTTTTTCACATTTTTATCTATATTTCTTCAAATTTTAAGATTTTTTTAGAGTTTTCTTAATATAAAAACCTGCTATTATAGGTCAAAGATTGAATAAATGGCCAAATTGATCAATTTTTTTAAAGTAAGTGTACTTATATGATACTTTTTTTTTCTTTTGAAAGGAAAAGACTTATTTATTGATAATGAAAATAACAAGAAGTAAAACAATACAATAGCTCAAAGCTACACTGGGATAAGACATATGATCGATTAGCCCCCAAAGGGCATCATATTCGCTAACCCCACAAGGATGTAGACTAATCTAACAACATGTCAGCAATTGATGAACTTGCTACAAAAATGAGAGGTAACTAAACAAGAATTCTTAAAGTCAAAGCAACAAAATAATTCAAGCATCCCGATTTTACCAGTGATAAGGACCCGACTAGTCTACTTAATAGAAATAGATTCTATGGGCAAGTCTATTCTAGGAAGTCAAAGTTGACTAGCTAGTTATTCGTTATAGAAGCTGTTAGTAACTAATAACTACCTTCGTTTGTGAAGGTTATAAATAGAATAATTCTGCAGAGGGAAGGCAGGCTCTTGTTAGATCATTTGTCTGGGACTGGGAAGTTGGAGTTCTATCTCCTTCTTTGGGACAATTCTTGTACGGTTTACCTCCATTGAATGAAAGCACCATTTTCTTCTTTTCTGTCTATTTCATTTCTGTTAATTGAACTGAGATTGAGGAGGTCCTATCATTGGTATCAGAGCGATTCGATCGCTGGATGAGATATACGCGTGCCAAAATGGAAGGGAGGGTTAACGAGGTGGAACGAAGTCAACGTGACATGCAGGCGAGTATGGATAATCTGGCGACAATGCAAACAGCGATCCAAGCTAGCATTGCAGATTTACAGGTTCAGATCAATCGCCGATCAAGGAGCAATTCGCAGAGGTCGACAATTCTCATCGAACAACACAGCACAGGCATTCGAGGAATGAAGATTCTTCTGGTGACTCGGATAATCAATCGAATCACACAGATTCGCGAATTGAGTACGAGCAAAGGCGGAATCACAGAAACAATCCGAGTATGGGGAGGAAGATTGATCTGCCGGTTTTCAGTGGGAAGGATGTCTACGGTTGGATGTTGAGGATGAACCGGTATTTCCGGTTGAACAGAACTACGGAAGAGGAGAAGTTGGATGTTGCAGTGATTGCATTGGAAGATCAAGCTCTTAGCTGGTTCCAATGGTGGGAGAGACGAATAATACACCTAAATTGGAACGCATTTACTAAGGCGTTGATCAGGAGATTTCAGCCGGAAGTAGTTCAGGATCCTTTGGGACCTCTATTTAGTCTGAAGCAGAAAGGTTCTATCGCTGAGTATAGAAACCAATTTGAAACAGCCATTTCCTCTCAGGAACACTTATCTGAAGAAGTGCTGAAGGGAGTCTTCCTCAAGGGACTGAAGAGGGATATAAGAGCAGAGTTGAAGTTGTACACTACCAGGACTTTAGCTGAAATTATGGATACAGTTTCTTTGATTGAGAACAAAAACATTGAAGTCATCCAGGAACCACCAACCACCTTGGAAATTCTTCTAAGGTGACAGTTGATAATAAAAACAACAATGAGGTGAAGGAACAGATGATGAGGAGGCAGGGACCTAGACTATCCCAAGAAGAATTACTGGAGAGAAGCAAAAAGGGCCTATGTTTTAAATGTGGGGAGACTTGGGGAAGAGGACATATTTGCAAAATGAAGAATTACAAGATGATTCTAGTGGAAAATTCTGAAGGAGAGGAAATTTCTGATGTGGAATATGAAGAATCAGAAGGGAGCCAGTACACTACTTCAAATTAGATGGACATGAATAAAATGCAGCTATCCATTTTGAGCAAGGAGGGCATTTCCTCCATGACCACTTTCAAAGTGAGGAAAATTGAAGTGGCATGGTGAAGAGAAGGAGGTAACTATCCTTATTGACAGTGGGGCCACCCATAACTTTATGTCCAAAGTGTTGGCAGAAAGGTGGAATATTCCTTATCATCCAATCAAGGGGTATAAGGTGCAAATAGGGAATGGGGATCACATTCCTAATCTAGGCCAATGCACTGAAGTTGATGTAAATATACAAGGAGTGGATATTCACCAAACATTCTATGTATTGGAATTGGGAGGAATTGATTTAGTCTTGGGAATGGAATGGTTGACTGAGCTGGGGAATATGGAGGTCAATTTTAAACAGCAAATAATCAAATGGAAGAATCAGGGAGTCACTTGCATGATAAAAGGCAACAATGTAGTAAATCAGATGGAGGTTTCCATGAAAACTATGGCCCACATACTACAACAGGTGGGGGATGGTTATCTGTTATACTATGAGGGACAACAAGGGGTTCAGGAACAGAAAACTGATGGAGGAGAATGGGAAGGGTTGATTGCAGACTTTCCAGATGTATTCACAGCAACTCTGAAATTCCCACCTGCCAGAGACTGTGATCATGCCATTAATATTAAAGAAGGAGCAGATATACCCAATATCAGACCATACAGGTACTCTTTTGATCAGAAGAATGAAATTGAGAAAATCATAGCTGAAATATTGAAGTCTGGAATCATTAAAAACAGTAATAGCCCTTATAGTAGCCCCATTCTTTTAGCTAGGAAGAAAGATGGGGGCTGGAGGTTTTGTGGAGACCACATGGCTTTAAACAAGGTGACCATACCTGATAAGTTTCCTATTCCAGTGATTGAGGAACTACTTGATGAGTTAGGTGGTGCCAGAATTTTTTCAAAGTTAGATCTTAAAGCAGGATATCACCGGATCAGGATGAAGGCCAGTGATACTCATAAGACAGCATTTAGGACTCATGAAGGGCATTATGAGTACCTAGTTATGCCTTTTGGGCTGACCAATGCACCATCAACTTTTAAATCTCTTATGAATGAGGTGCTGAGACCTTTTCTGAGGAAAAGTGCTCTAGTGTTCTTTGATGACATCTTAGTTTACAGTAAAACTAAGGATGATCATAAAGAGCACTTAAGAGAAGTCTGGGAGCTCTACAGGATAATCAATTGGTAGCAAATATCAAGAAATGTTCATTTGGACAGGATCAACTGAGTTATCTGGGTCATATAATATCTGCAGAAGGGGTGGCAGCTGATCCTGAGAAAATTGTAGCTATGAAGAACTGGTCCATACCCAGAGACTTGAAGGAACTGAGGGGATTCCTGGGGTTAACTGGGTACTACATGAGGTTTGTAAAAGGGTATAGTAAGATGGGTTTAAATGGGGAGATTTGGCTACTAAAGCATTCAATGATATGAAGGAGGCCATGACTTCATTACCTGTTTTGAGGGTACCTGATTTTACAAAAATGTTTGTGATAGAGACAGATGCTTCTGGGAAAGGTCATTTTTGTAAAGTCAGGTACCCTCAAAACAACTCAAAAGATTGTGAGCTGCAAGTGAGACCTGAAGGTGTGAAGGACATCAGGATAAATCAGGAAGGGAAGAAGGAGGTCCTTATACATTGGAAGGAACTTCCTGAATTTGAAGACTCATGGGAGGATATTCAAGTAATACAAGAGCAATTTCCTGAATTCCAACTTGAGGACAAGTTGGTAGTTCAAGGAGGGGGTATTGATAAGGACCCGGCTAGTCTACTTAATAGAAATAGATTCTATGGGCAAGTCTATTCTAGGAAGTCAAAGTTGACTAGCTAGTTATTCGTTATAGAAGCTGTTAGTAACTAATAACTACCTTCGTTTGTGAAGGTTATAAATAGAATAATTCTGCAGAGGGAAGGCAGGCTCTTGTTAGATCATTTGTCTGGGACTGGGAAGTTGGAGTTCTATCTCCTTCTTTGGGACAATTCTTGTACGGTTTACCTCCATTGAATGAAAGCACCATTTTCTTCTTTTCTGTCTATTTCATTTCTGTTAATTGAACTGAGATTGAGGAGGTCCTATCAACCAGCCACCAGGAAAAGGGAAGAGGTTTATCCATCCACCTCCAAAGGAAGCATCCCGATTTTACCAGCCACCGAGAAGGGAGAAAATGTTTGACCAGCCACTTCCAAAGGAATCATCTCGCTTCCAAGACCTGTCAATATTTTAGGCGTTGCATTTCTGGGAGCACCGCCGCCTTGCCGTTTTTTGATCCCTCACCAACGACCTCCTTTATTGACACCCTTACATAAGCCTGATTTAAGCTTTCCATTAATGGCCAACAAAATGAATGCCGGATCCGAGACAGAAAAAGAATCAGCGAAATTTATGATCAAAACCTAAACACGTTCACCATTGGAACGAACTAAACCAAAACTCAGCCGAACAAACGTTTACAACGAAACACATCAAAAACCTCGGCCAGAGTGAGAAATCTCAGCCGGATAATAACAGAAGTCCAAAATCGCTTGTTGAATCCTCGTACAAACCTCTAAGGCAGCCACAGATCCAATTAACCAGCCCAGCCTCTGCGTCGAAGCAATCTGACGGGAGGGAAGCCAGGCAGGCGCCGCACGTTGCTAGGGTTTTCTACATATTCAACAACAAATTAATAATTTCAATTCGCATCCATATGATACTTTTTTCAGTACAATGGCTTAGGTGATGAGTTGGAAATAGTAGAAGGGCTTATTTGACCTTTTTCCCTTGTTTTTCATTATTATTATGACGACAACCACTATTACTATTACTATTATTATTTTATTATAATTCTTCTTATTCTTATTCTTATTCTTATTCTTATTATTACTATTATTACTTTCCTTAAGTATTATTCCCTCCGTCCCACAATTAAGTTCACAATTTAACTTTTTGAGTCAAATTTTGTTAACTTTGACCGTTAATTATTCAAAAACCGTAATACTTTATAATACCAAAATAATTTTGAATACTTCATTTTAATACGTACCACTATATATTATTGAAATGTTATTTCATTATATTTTATAAGTCTACATTTATATATCAATGGTCAAATATTGATGTTGGAGATCGTGAAAGTCCAAATGTGAACTTCATTGAGGGATTGGAGGTAGTGTTATTAGTTTACTTTTGTTATTATTAGTTCTAGTTTATTATTATATAGATATTCTATTTTAGTTAATACTCCTAATAGAAGTATTGTAATAGAATTAGGGTAACGGTAACTCCGATGCTAGACCACCGATATATACTAGTCCCAAGAGGCTCGGTGGTCTAGTATCAAAGCTACCCTAATTCTTTTCTTGGTGGTCGGGACTAGTATAAATAGAGGTGCTATATTCCTAAGAGATTTTCTTTTCATCTCCCGATCATGCTCATAACATATTCTCTCATTCATCAATATCAGTAACTAACCTTTGCTACCTACAATCTGTACAGGTGCAACTTATCCGTGGTGCCACCAAGGGCACTGCCATATGCTTAATTGTAACTACTTTTGGGGTAGTCATAACTGCCGTTTTTATAGCTGCTCACGCTCTGATTGCCTTGGTTGCTGCCCCAGTATGCCCTCTTCTTATCCCTTCCAAGATGACTAAGGAAGAAATGGTCCATCTAGTACAACTCGATGATGCAGCAAAGGGTTTGTTTGTCCTTCACAATCACCTGGAAACTGTTGATTGTTTGGTGGCTCGTTTGCATAATGCGATGGAGGACTATAAGCGCCTTGTCCGTTTCGGGATTGAAAGAGGAAAGGACAGTTATCCAATCCAAGAGGTCATTTTTCAACTCCAAAAAAAACACAACAATTTCCTAGAACAGTTGACTGGTCTTGAGGAACATTTGTGCCTTTGTCTTGCTGCGATAAACCGGGCCCGGTCTCTCCTCCTTAACTATTTTCATCTTCATCAACATCGTTCTTCATAGTTTGTTTTAACACATAACGGTAAATTGTTCTTTACCACTTCCATTGGAGGAAATTCTATTTTGGTTTGACATAGAAACCAGTTTTGTTGAAATGACTGAATTAGTATTAAAACATATTCTAATTAGTCAAAAAAATAATGGTAGCATCGTCAATTTTATCAGTATAGCTAAAAAAATGTTTCGTGCGCTACTGATTTTTTAGTGATAAATTACTTCGTATGGCATTTACTTGTATCAAACGTGCTCTCAAAGTTGATGCATTTGTAATAATCATTCAAATGACCAAAACTAGATAGTTCCATTCAAGTTTTCTTTGGTTGATCCCCGAATATTTCTTTTTTATGCTTCCTTTTCTGATTTATATAATCCTTTTTTTTTCATTAGCGCATCTTCTTGTTTTTTATTCTTTCATATGATGTTTTTTCATAAATTTGAAATACACGTTGGCGTGTACGGTAGTACAGAGTATGTATTTGGGAATTGGGAGATGAAAAAGTAATTGGGACTTGGCCACTTGGGTAATGGGTATCATTGTATTACTATGGTATAAAGGTATGACCATGTACTCTGGAAGATGACCCCGGCTTCTGCGCCACTGATTTTGATTTTGGTGGTGTGCCTTGCGGGGTAAAAAAAACAGTATAAAGGTATGACCGATTGACCATATGAGATGAATAAGTTAAAATTGAAAAATAGTTATTTTGTTTAATTTTTTTATTGTATTTATTAGAATAGAGGTTTTAGGTTTTTTGTTAATTAATTGATTTGTTTGTGATTGTTATTACTTTGTATTATCTATAAATATTGTCATCATGGTCGTCTTTAAGTATAAGACTATAAGTTAAGGAGAGATTTGATTATACAATCGTTTGAAAAAAGCTTCATTGCAGTGGTTACTCGGAAAGAAACTTTTCAAAGTTGAAGCTTATAAAAAACTATCTACGATCTCAACCATGTCAGAAGCTAAGATAGATTAAGTGACCTAGTTATGTTATTGATTGAAAAACAGTGTTAGCTACTTTTGATGGCAATGATGTTATTACTAATTTTGCACTTCAAAAGGCAAGAAGAATAGGTCAATAGGGTGTAACAAATACAAGTTTGCGGCGTATTTTACATATGTTTGCATCGCTGCATTTAAAAACTTATCCTTACGATTATTAAAAATATTATATCGTACACATTGAATATGTTTTCTTTCATATGATGTTTTTTATTCAATTTATCTGTTTTCAATATGATTTTTGCACCATAATATTTTTCTGTCTAGGGCCTTCCAAATGCTAAAGACACCTCTGTTGCCGACGATATTGTATTGATTGATCAGACACAATCGGGTATTAAAACAAAGTTGGAAATATGACGACAAACATTAGAGAACAAGAGTTTAAGATTGAGTCGAAGCAAGACTAAGTACATGGAGTGCAAGTTTGATGGAGGTAGAAGCGGTGGTAATAGCGAAATTACTCTAGATGGTGAGGAAATATTGATTAGTGATATGTTCTGTTGGGATCCATAATTCGGAAGGACGATGAGTTAGATGAATATGTATCCCATAGAATCTTAACAATGTGGATGATCTTACTCATCAACTTATTCATCAACTTACCCCACCATAATTTCCCTCCTCTTTATCTCTCCAACTGGAAGTATCCAGTTACTGGAGAGGATCCAAACTCAATCTTTATTAAGTTTTTGTACTCAATTTTATTCACCCCATGTTATTTTCGTTTGTTACAATCATCCATTGATTAAAAATGTCAAAATAAGATTCTAATTTTCTTGTAAGAAGAAATTTTAGTTTATATTGTTTCACCTTCTAAGTATTGTAACAACATGCCGATCTCGTCTAAAACATGCGATGAGAGAAAACCCCAAGCTAGGCGGTGACAGTGGATTTTTCTCTAATTCGATTAGCTAATGTCAAGTTGTTGCAGTCCATGACTTGGAGGCAAGTGGTGACCTCTCTTTTTTTCAAGTTTCTTGGAGCTTCGAATTTGCTTTTCAACGAGAGTTCTTCCCGAGGGTTCTTGGGGGGACGTTTTCCGGTGAGGCTTGTAGCATGCAGCTGGCGTCTTCTCCCTAGATTTCGTCTAGGGCTTTTTTCCGGCAGGCGGTTTGCGTCTTTTATTGTCCGGTAAATGATTTGGAGCGACGGTTGAATGACGACGTTTACCACGTTGTGTTTCTCCATGACTTGCTTCTCTATGGTTCATGCTTCTAGACGTGCTGATTTGAATCAAACTTGGAGGTCTAAGAGCAAGAGAGAAGACAGATTGATGGTGCCCCCTCCTGAACCGTCGTCGTGGAATTAGTGATGGATTCGGGCCGGGCCGGGTCACAAAAATGCTGAACCGAGCCCGCCCCGCCCTTCCCACCGGTTCGGGCCCATACCCGGTCCCGGACCGCCTGAACCGGGCCGGTCCCGGGCCCTCACAGTACCGGGCCGGGCCGGGTCACGGGCCGGGTGGCCCGAACCGAATCCATCCCTACGTGGAATGATCAAGAAACTGGCAAGAAGATATTTGGAGTTTTTACTAGTATTTTTTATTTTTATGATCTTATTTTCGCACCATGTTTGATTACATTACTTTGTTTTTCGTTGATGTCTTTAGTGTTAGGTCTACAATATTGTTTTTTACTTTTGGATTATGGCAAGTACAACATAAGATAAGTGACGAGATTACATCATCGATCATGATTGGCTTACAGTTGCCCAAGTGAGGATTAGCGAATTCTATTGCTCATGAGTAGGGGAGAGCAAACCCGACCCTACCCGATTGACCCGATCGGATATATCCGAAATTTTTGTTTGGATTGGAAAACCCGACCCGAAATACCCCAACCCGAACCGATTCTTGCAGCCCGTGACTTAAGCGGATAGCGGGTAGGGTTATAAATTAGGCTACCCGACCCGCCCGACTACACGAATTAGCGTAGTATATACACCGTATACTATTTTGAATTATTATACATGTTCAAATATCTCAATTATTGTATGTCAATTACAATATTATGCATGTCCAAATATTCCAATTACCGTATCTGTACAACTATAACTTTAAATGTTGTATTGTTATAACTTTGAATGATATTTTGACCAATTATCATTTTATTTATCATAATATCAAATACGCCAATCATCGTATATTATTATTTTAGATGTTCAAATATGTTGATTACCGTAATTATACAACTATTACTTTGAATGTTATACTAGTATAACTTTGAATGATATTTTTACCAATTACCATTTTATTTATCACAATTTCAACAATAATAATAAATTAAAATCCGAATGGACCCGAAAACTGTATCAACCCGACCGCAACCCGATCTTCTTCAACCCGAAAAACCCGATAATTTTTTTCATAGGGTAGGATTTGAAATTATCAATGCGATAACCGAACGGGTTTACAAATTTTGAACCCGACCCGCCCGAACCCGACCCGTGCTCTGCCCTACTCATGAGTGAGTGATAGTTTCTGAGTTAGATCCCAGGGTGTATGATCGAATAATGTATTCTGGTCTTTCTTGGTTGTGTACTTTGTCTGGTCTTGTTGTTATTTGGGTTGATTCTATGATATTAATATAAGCCATTTTTTTCAAAAAGAAAAGTATTGTAACGACATTGTCTTTATTTTTGAAAAAAGGTTAATCACACGTTGAGAAAAATTATGAGATAGATGGAGCAATTTTGATACATTGACCTCATTTTCATTGTTCCAAAAAAAGGTGGAATCTCCCACCCCAGGAGCCCCCCCACCCCGACCCGACAGGATGGTGGGGAGGTTAGTCACGGTGACTCAGTCAGCAGAATGTCAGTAGACCCATACACCCGTGCGCACCAGAGGTCCAGCCTTATTTCAGGTTCTGTGACCTTCACCTGGTCGCTGCGGGGATTCGAACCTTGGTCCATTGTTCCAAATCTCCCACCACTCGATCAACTGAGCTACCCTTGCGGGTATTGACCTCATTTTCATAAGAACTTGTGGTGTCATTTTCATAATTTGCGATCTATATGTGTATACAAATATGCACTTTTCACCTCGCAAAGTGAAAAGTCATACAAATATGTGTATTGACCTCATGTGACACCACATCTCCATAGGTGACTCTATGCCATTAATGCACAACTTCTGGTCAAATTACTCTAACTCTTGAGTCAAAAAACACAACTTTTATTCAAAAGTCATACTTCGTATATCGCATGTCTAAAGCCGCCTTAGACAATACTACATCCGTCTCTTAAAACTTGGCCAAAGTTGAACAGCACGGAGAATAATAAAGTAAAAAGTGTGTGGTTAAAGTTTGTGCAGAGGAGACAGAAATAACAGAAACCACAAAATAATTGATTAAAAGGGAAAGTGGCAAAAATTTTTGAGTCGTCCCAAAAAAGAAAGATGACAAAGTTTTTTGAGACGTCCCAAAAAGGAAAGATCGACAAAGTTTTAAGGAACGGAGGAAGTATAACTTCTATTCATTTACATTATTAATGTAAATTAATGAGGATAAAATGTATAACAGAATAAAAAGTTTCAACAAGGATAATATGAGTTTCATTTGTTATCTAAATAAATTAGTTACATTAGTATTAAGCTCATATAATCATAATTTTATAGGCTCCCACATGAAATCAGTTATCATTGAAACATTTTAACACTTGATAGGCTCATATAGGCATAATTTAAATTCAATTTTTTCCAAAACTGAAACTCTTAAATAAGTAAAAGCATTTTTGAGTAATGTACAAGAAGAATTGTTGAAAAACATTTGAATCTAAAATTCAAATTTTATTTGTTGCCATCACAGAGACTGAGTTTGGTAACGCGTAATGAGTTGTAAAACTCATGTGATATACATGTGCTGTAAATACATTTGATTACATTTCAAATTTACAACTCGTCTGAAAATGAAGTTGAGGCTATTGTCCCTTATTGTGGTGACTATCCAAGTAAGCAATGGCAACAGCAGCATGAAGAGCGGCTCCTATGGGCAAAACGCGTTCATCCATAATGAAGTGAGGACTGTGAAGTCCTTTAATGGAGGAACCCATTGTCTCATTTCTTGCACCAATAAAAAAGAAAGCCGCCTTCTTTTTTAGTGCATAAAAGCCAAAATCCTCAGCAGCCATTGTGATCTGGGCATATTCCACATTTTTCTCACCAAGCAAAATGCCTCCTACTTCCTTGGCATGTTCGTACATCCCTTGGTCATTAAGGGTTGGCGGGTAGGGTGTCTGTTCCCCTGATAGGTACTCCACCACTGCAGAGCATTGGTGAACTGCTGCTTGTGCCTCAATTATCTGCAAGTAAACACCTGATGACAAGTTTTTTGTTTTTTAACGGGCAAATTTAGTGCGCAAATTTAGTGCTTGTTTGGTAATCATTTTTTCTGTCTTATGAACTAGACTTTTTCATCAAACATAAATTTAGTTTTTGTCTAAAAATATTAAATACAATGTTCATATAGTTATATACTCCGTATTAATACTCCAATAACATTTCAAAATATACGGAGTAGTTCTTGATCATTTCTGGACCAAGAATACGATTGTCTTTCGATAATGACAAACGTGAATATTTGACCTATTGGTGAGAAATTGTAAGATATTGATTTTTTCTTTACTCCAAAGAAAATATATAGCATAGATAGAAAAAACAATTGAAATAACATATCAATTACAATAAAAAGTATTTTGTTTCATCAATAAAAGGAATTAGGGTCTTCTTAGTTAGCATTCATATGCTTCTTTTTCCTATCAGCATTTTAAGCTGCTATTGACATATTATTTAGCTGAACGATTTTCCCAAACATTGTTCCTTTCATAAAAAGCAACACATTCTTTCAGCCATTTCATTTCACCAAACCTCACCGACAGGCACTTAATTTAAAAATCTAGTTATTTCATAAAAAGGATTTGTTTGAATACTAAATCCATCCTATTTTTGTGAATTCAATCTTATATAGACAAAATAATTGATTTTGAAATGTAGCTGTTATTGGTGTTTGATTACCGTCGTATGTAAATATCTTTATATTCAATAATTCTATCATAATATAACTTTACATTTCCTTTCACGAGGGACTAAAAACTACTGTAGTGATATTGAAAAGAATAAACCTACTATTATCCCACAATAGAGAGACTAAAAGTGTCAATTTCCCATATAAATTGCACAATTAGTCAATTACCTCTTTGATTCTTTGTTGGAGATAGAATGAACCATCAGAAGTCAAGTAGCGAAAAGTTCCACCAAACTTCACTTGATCTGGTATGACTTCTTTTGAATGGCCAGCCTCTACAAATCCAATTGATACTACCTGCACAGTATAATACAAAGTTTCACCATAGGTAAAAGAAAATAGAGGGCGCATATTCGTGTGGACGATTTGATCTCTTTTCTCTCTTTCTTTTATCTTTTATCTTCTTTATCTTTCTATGTTCTTATGTTATTTTTATTTCTTATCTTCCTTATGTTCTTTTATCTTTCTTATGTTATTATGTTATTTTTATCTTATATTTATCTTTATTTTATCCATTTTAGCTTACCTTATTTTTTAAAAAATTTCTTATCTTTCTTCTCGATTTGGACCTACAACAACATTCATGCCTTTTTTTTAAAAATTTCTTATCTTTAGCCGACCCCAAAATCTTTTGGGAAAAAGGCATGAATGTTGTTGTAGTATTAGAAAACAAAACAAAAAAAGAATGTAAGTAACGATAAAATACCCTGGGCTCAAGAGGATCTGTTTCTCGAGAAACAAGATGTTGGAGAGCAAGAATGGTCATAGATAAGGCAAGAACAGTATCTTGGGTTTTATGCGGATTCGCTGCATGCCTACCGTTGCCTTGTATTACAACTGAAAACCTGTTTGAGCCTGCAAGCAAGGGCCCTGCTCTTGAAGCAATTTTACCAACAGGCATACCTGGCCAAATATGGAGCCCAAACATTGATTCGATATCATCCATCACTCCTTCCAATAACATATGGTTAGCCCCACCCATGCCTTCTTCAGCGGGTTGGAAAACCAGCTTAACAGTTCCCTGAAGGGAAATGATTTAACTAATTTAATTACAAGGTGAATAAAGCAAATTTGACCTTTGTGTTCTAAATTTCCAAACCTTCAAGTTCTTCTTTCTGCTTTGAAGCAATCTGGCTGCTCCAAGCAGCATGGCAACATGAGCATCATGCCCACAAGCATGCATTTTACCATTAATCTTGCTCTTATGTTCCCATTCCACCAATTCCTTATTATAAACAGAAAAACTAAAATTTGTCATAAACATATGATGATAGAAAGATTCTTTTCTCAACTGTTGATAGAGAGTCTCACATTGAAAGGTTGAAGAGAAATAAATGAATTTATAAAGACATTATGTTGGACTAACAAAGATTACAAATGACCTTGTGCCACTTAGCAATAGAAGGGTGGGTATAAGGAGCTTGGGATGGATGGGTCTCGGGTTAAAGTCCTCGGGTACATTGGTCTAATGGTTAATATTGGTTATATGTGGCAATGGGTGAGACTGGTTCGGCTCCCGGTGGAAAACTACTACGGCATATATGGGGTTCTAGCATGAAGAAACAATCACTTTGAGGCGACTCTTGGTTCCAGTCATGCAAGGGGTCCTACCTCTAGATACTAGAAACACCTCAACCTGAAATACCAACTTCTTTTCTGCGTGAACAAATTAAAATCCACAAGAATCATGTTGGGGACACGGGACACCCCCTAAATTTGTTTCCATACATTATTTTCTTTGATTCTAAAATAATACGTATACGTATATTGTAATTATATTTTTCATTCAAATAGTTCAAACATTTAACTCACTTTATTAGTCCCAAATTCCCATTCTCAATGAGTACAACAGTAACCCCTAACAATCTCAAATAAAAATTGAAGTACCTGAAGAGGGAGAGCATCCATATCAGCTCTTAAACCAAACGAAGGTCGATCGCCGGAACCAATAACAGCGACAACCCCGGTTTTGGCAACCGGCCAGGCATACTTGACTCCCAGAGCGTCAAGCTCATTTCTGATGAGCTGACTCGTCAAGTGCTCTTCGAACCCTAATTCCGGGTATTCATGGATACTCCTTCTGACCTGTTTCAACCAATCAAAAAAGTGGGGATCTCTGACCGAGTCCAACAATTCCCGACTCAGCTGCCGCAAAGAATTCGATCCTAAAGGAGTTGAGAGAGCCAGAGAGTAGAGGTGCCCAGTGGGAGTGCATAACCCCAGGACCAGGGCTAACAATGCGCACCTGAAGTACATCTTCTGCAATTCTCTTTTTAAAAAGACCTGACCCAACATGTATATACATTTGGTCCAAAAAAAGGTTCGATTGCCCAACCTCAAGCTCCACCCCACCTCGACCCGACAGGATGGTGGGAATGTAACATGTATATACATAATATAATAGAAAAGTGTCACTTCACTTCGGTACATGAACTCCTAAAGGGTGGAGTAAAGAGTACTTGATGATGCAATCGAGACCTAGAGTTATGCAAACCTGGATATCAATGGTAAATTAGTCCTATCGGGCATTAGGTGAGATAAAAAGCTGAGTTATGTGGTACATCATGGATTCCAAGACAACATCCTCTTTATATCCAACCCTAATATATCAGATGAGAGGAAATTTACAGGTAAAAGACCCGATCGTCTCTTCTCTGTTCCAACTGTTAATGTATTCTTGTCCGATGACTTCTCCTCCAGTGAATTCTTGCGGTGAGTCTGGTTGTTGTTAATCACCTTACGACACCATATGTTTCATATTTATTCCGTTTGTGAGTCAGGTTTGAGAACAATGGATTATGAAAATTGCGGATGTAGTCTTCCTGTAAAGCTTATGATTTCTTGGACAGATGACAATCCAGGGAGACGGTTCATTTGCGTGATCAAGAGTAAGGCTATTCGAATGATTCTAATTTGTGATGTATTGTCAATTTTTTATTGTTCTTGACCTAATGATATTATTAAAAATAGGAGATAGGTGGCTGATGCTACATGTTTAAATGGATTGATCCAGAAATGTGTGCAAGGTCGAAGGTGATTATACCGGGTCTTTTGATGAAAATAAACAAACTACAAGTTGTGGTTGATGAGACAAAGGCAGTTGTAACACCCTCAATTTCCCGCCCAACATAATACTTGAAATAATAATTTATTGATAATAAACTTGCTTTATTCATTCGAAATTGATAAAAATCTTGCAGCGGAAATAATTTAAATAGGGAAACGGGTGTTACCGCCACATCCGGTCATCTCTTAACCGGATGCACAGGCAACTAAAACAAAACAGTCATAATTAATTGTAATATGAAGAAACAAATGTTCAACGTAACTAAAATGTTCATTCATGTCTAGGTTTTACTAAGGCATCTAGCAACTGCTCTCAGACGCATGCAATCAACAATCAACATAGCAATCATCACTTGCACAAATAAAGTGCAGAAAACAAAACAAAGAAAAGAAAACAAAAATTAGCTTTAGAGCTAAGTACTACTCAACCCTGTAAAATAATCAAGTTTGACGAAAAAAAGTTTTTCATATAATACTATAAAAATAACACACTCCACCAAAATTCTTTTCTCTTTGATTTTTTTTTCTCAAAATCACTTCTTTACTAAAGTCCTCAACTTTTCTTCGAAAATACTATAGTAATTCTTCTCTTAGAATTTCTCAAAATTCATTTCTTCTCTATCTTTCTAGTAATTTAGAAGGGCGGTGCTCAACACTCTGGTTGAGCCCGGTGGTTACGTTATTATGTACGACCACCCCGAGACTTTTGCCGATACCACAACTGTTAACGGAAATGAAATGACTACCTTAAGTGTGCACACCCCCTAAAAGGGATTCCAAGCCCTCCGAGTGATAAGTCGTAACGAGTAGCCGAGACTCGGTCTACCAACTACCCCACCTTTAAAATTCTTGAATGATTAGAGACTACTACTACTACAACTTCTTAAAAGGGATCATAGATCCAAATGTCACTTCAAACTCAAATTGTACTTCTTAGTAGTAGCAGCCCTAATCACCCTCCACATTTATCCGGATGTGGAAAACCGACACCACAGATTTCTCCCGGGTGCTCACCTCTTATGAAAACGTAAATTTTATCTTGACTTTAGATATACTTCCAAAAATATTTCTCAATCCCTCTAAATAGTCTCAAAAGTATTTAAAAATATTTAATACCCAAAAGTACTTTGTTTGCACTTCTCAAATACCATAGATCTAATATCTTCTCAAAATCACATACACATGATTCAAAATTCACACTTAATCACATAATGCATAATAAACATATAATACGAGGAAACAATTTTGGATTGGCAGAGAAACTTACCTTAACTCCGATGCTCCTAATTCTTCTCCTTTATTCGAGTCTCTAAATAATCACCTTTTTAATCAAGATGATATAATTAGTCACTATTTCTATTCATCTGATTGCCCCCCTTATATTATTAAAATTTAAATTTATTAATTATGAATTAGAATTTAATTTATCAATTAATTATTATTGATCACGTTTATTAATCCAAGCACTTTATTAATATCATAATTTTTCCATAACTTTGTTTTTATTAAATAAAACAATACTGGAATTTCGCAATTATAATAAAATATCTGACTTATATTTTAATATTATTAAATTTAAAATATCCGAGTTATATCTACAGGTCATATATTCATATTAGCTTAATTATATGTTATTATAAATCTATCTCACTTGTATGATTAATTATTAATTTTTGATTAATTAATCATCCATAAATTTTATGAATTTATATTATGTAAATTATCTCAAATAAACGATGACAAATTTATGCAAGCAACCTAGCCAACTGATTTCATCTTTTTATTATATTGACCTCAGATTTTATTATTAATTTCAGATTGTTATTTATTATTAGTATTATTATATTATTATCATCTTAGTTTTTTCCAGAAATTTGGAACAACCCGCATTAGTTATACAGCCCAGGTTCCCAAATCATTGTTGTTGTATTATTTCCGGCAACCCTTCAAATAAAGAAAAAGAAAGAACGATGAGAGTACGTACGGAGTGTCGCTTCTCCCCGTCAGTCGAGCTCATCGGCGAACTGCTCCTTCTCCGGCGGCGAACCAGCAGGCATGGCACTGTGGTAGCAAACTCCCAGAGACTTCCTCTCCCGACGTAACACTAGTCCGACAGCCCTGGTTCATGGGTGAGCTTGGTGTCGTCCCCTTCCACGTATAACTAGCCCGGCAAACTCCGGCGATCATCTCGCTGCCTAGGAAGACGAATGCGCTGCGATTGACCACCTCTACCTCCTCCTATAGACAGTGACGACCCCTCTCAAATGAAATCAGTCCGGCAATGTCCTTACTTCTCCTTCCGGCAGTGTTGGTCAAGTTGGCCGACAACGGTTTCCGGCGACTTTGCTCAAGGATATCTCCCGCTCTTCTAAGTCATCGAAGCAACAGGCCAAATATTCCTCTCCCTTTTTCACTCGATCTTTAGTTCGTATATGAATGTTTTCTTTTTTTCTTTTATTCAAGGAAATGAATTATAGGAGAATAAATAGTATAGGAGTTTGAATTCTAATCTAACTATCCACGTTGCCTCAGTTTCATTTCAGCCGAAGGTTTTGGCTCTGAGTTGACTATATTTGGCCTCTTCCAATAATCTTGAGCATACCCTTGTGGATCGGTATGGTAGTAGGTGTGTATGATATATTATTATTGTACTATATCCATATCATGTCATTGTTGTGTGTATTATTGCTATTATTGTACTGAGCTTATATTATTGCATGTATACTATTGTTAATCCGACTCTATTATTACACGTAGTGTATAACTATGACCTCTTACAAAATGTCACTTGTAACACCCTAATTAATATTTATTTTTATTCACTTGGTCAGACATATTTTATCTGATACTTTTTTTCTTTTCTTTTATTTTACCTTTGTATTTATTTATTTATTTTGTTTTTGTTTAAAATTTTGAGGTGTCACAGCAGTGAAGAAAACAAACAAGAAGAAAACTTTCTTATGATGTATAATAGGAGGAATTCTTGGTCCAAAAGGTGGAATCTCCCACCACAGGAGTCGAAAAGGTGGACTTTCCTATGATGTATAATAGGAGGAATTCTGCTACTACTACTGTTGGTCATTTGGGTTGGCAATGAAAAGAAGAACACCTTAGAATGGGAAACTTGTGAGGCTCCCATTATGTAATCCTGTAGGGGTTTTTGAACAGTTGTATTCGTTGATTGTTTGTTGTAATCCTGTAGGGGGTAGGGGTTAATGAGCATTTGTAAAGCTTGTTGGTATGCTGTAATCCTGTAGGGGTTTATGGTCAATGTTGTTATGTAATTTATGTTATGAATCATTTATTGAAGCTTGCATTTGAATCAGTTATGAATTCTTTATGTGTAACCCTGTCAAATTTATGATCTGGTTGATGCTTATGGTTTGTTGTAGTTTGTAACCCTGTTATGAATAAGTTATTATTGTTTCTTGTATCTGGTTGATATGGATGTGAATGTGTGTGACTGCTGATATGGATGTGGCTTCAGTTTCAGAAAGAAGCTTAAACCACTTAAGCCTTTGAAAATAATTGTACCATGCATATACTGAATTTTTCCTTTCATAAGAGATATATGCATTTCTCCCTAAACTCATAAGAGATATATGCATTTTGAGAGAAAAGCATGAACTGAATTAATGCAATGTCAGAAGCATAGCTTATGAACTGAACTCATAGGGTATTCGACTTCCCCCATGCTTTATGAGACTCCCCACCAAACTTAAGCTAAGCTTCCTAGAGTGACTGTTTGGTGTTGATTTGGGAAAGATGAGTTGTGCATCTTCAGAGTTAAACTACTTGAGGTCAAAGTATGAAATGAACTGTATGAACAGAAGAAGGCTTAGTAGACATCTTATTCTATTCCTTTCAAACTATTAAGTGAATTCATAGGGTATTGGACTTTCCCCATGCTTATGAACTGTATTCATGCAATGAAAGAAGCATAAAATGAATTTCTCAACTGAAATTTGAATTGATTCCCTGAACTCAATTAACCATGAACTAAAGTTTTAAGTCATATCCCGAACTCAATCAATCATTAACTGAAATTTGAACTCATACCATGAACTAAATCAACCATGAACTCAAACTATTCAGTGAGATTTCAAACGATGACAATATCAAACTCTGAACTCCAACCAGAATTTGAAAATTCACCTCAACCCATGAACTGAATTTTCCGCACATAATTGTTCAAAACTTCA